AATGTACAAATTTTGCTAAATATATTGACTGTTTATGATAATTTATTTTCTAGTTTGTTAATTTCATGGTTAATTCATTAATTTTATTTTATTTTATGATATATGTTTTTATTTGAATGGATTTAATTAGTTGAATATAAATAATATTAAACATATCTGTAATTATCAGGAAGAACGTTCAAGAGTAGATGATTTGCGTGGGAGTCCAATGTCTGTAGGTACATTAGAAGAAATCATTGATGATAATCATGCAATTGTATCAACATCAGTTGGAAGTGAACATTATGTCAGCATATTGTCATTTGTTGACAAAGATCAGTTAGAACCAGGGTGCTCTGTACTACTTAACCACAAGGTAAATAAACTCAAATATATAAAAATGTATATGTATATTTATGTTTAATTTTATTATAGGTTCATGCTGTGGTTGGAGTGCTTTCTGATGATACTGATCCTATGGTGACTGTAATGAAACTTGAAAAGGCACCACAAGAAACATATGGTGACATTGGTGGTTTAGATCAACAAATTCAAGAAATAAAAGAATCTGTTGAACTGCCCTTAACCCATCCTGAATATTATGAAGAAATGGGTATTAAGCCTCCTAAGGGGGTTATTTTGTATGGGCCTCCAGGAACAGGAAAAACCTTATTAGCTAAAGCTGTTGCCAACCAGACTTCAGCAACATTCTTGAGAGTTGTTGGATCTGAACTTATCCAAAAGTACTTGGTAAAATATTTACAATTATTATTGTTTTGCATGATAAATATTATAATATATAATTTATAATTTTATCATAGGGAGATGGTCCAAAATTAGTGAGAGAATTGTTTCGTGTAGCTGAAGAACATGCACCATCTATAGTATTCATTGATGAAATAGATGCAGTTGGTACTAAACGATATGATTCAAATTCTGGTGGTGAACGTGAAATTCAGCGTACTATGCTGGAACTTCTTAATCAGTTGGATGGTTTTGATTCAAGAGGCGATGTTAAAGTATATTTTTAATTTGAAGTATTTTTAATTTTTTTCATACTTCATTAATTTTAAAGGTGGTTATGGCTACAAATCGTATTGAGACTTTGGATCCTGCCTTGATCCGTCCTGGTCGTATTGATCGTAAGATAGAGTTTCCGTTGCCAGATGAAAAAACCAAACGTCGTATATTCAATATCCACACATCTAGAATGACATTGGCAGAAGGAGTTAATCTACAAGAACTTATTATGGCCAAGGATGATTTGTCTGGTGCTGATATCAAGGTATAACCATGCATTTATAAAATTAATTTATCCATAAAAATAATACATTACATTTATTGAAGTGCTATAGGATTATAAATCAAATTAGCTTTAATATAAAATGTAATAGTTATTTTTAAAAGCTAATATTTTATATTATTTCTTACTTGTAATAAAATATTAAAGTATAATGCCTTTACGTTTTCTGTTACAAAAAATGTACATGTACTGAAATGGCAATCATTTCATTTTCAGCTTAATACTTAGTATTAATGTTACTAAAAAAACAATTTATCTTATGATCAAAGCAATAAACTTTATATTAAATTACTGTGTCATTTGTATTTGTTTATATTGTATTTATGTACTAATTAAATAATCACATATTTTAGGCAATTTGTACTGAAGCTGGTTTAATGGCTCTTCGTGAACGCCGTATGAAAGTAACTAATGAAGATTTCAAAAAGTCTAAAGAGAGCGTTTTATACCGCAAGAAAGAAGGCACTCCTGAAGGATTATATTTGTAATGTGTTTTATCAATAAGTGGTCACATATGAATTTTTTTCTTTTACTGCTGTATTTTAATATTACTTACATCTTAAAATGTATTGTAATTATAATAAAAAAGTAATAATAATAAATTATTTGTTGCTTCTTATCATATATGGTCCTAATAATTAAATTATTTATCAAATTCCCTATAATAAGAATAATATGAATTTAAAGTATATTATACTTTTTAGTGTAAAATTAAAATATGTGTATTATATTAATTTTTGCATTAACAAAAAAAAAAAAAAAGAATGAAAATGTATTAATTTCCATGCAACAAAATTATTTTAATTTTACATTGAGGTTATAACACTACTGAAACAATTTTATATTATTTGTTAAGGTTAATTTAAAATGTATTTGAAATCACATACCTAATGGTAAATAATGATTAACACAATGTTGATGTTTTTAAATTAATACATTTTTGTTATGCATTACACAATACTTATAATCAATAGTTTTTAATTTTTTAGTTATCTGTTCATTTTTAGTACAAATAAATAGATAATTCTTATGTACTATAGCATACTTACATTTTTTAATTTCTAATGTTTATACGTAATATAATGTGTTTTCATACATATAACTGTTTTATTTCTCAAATAATGATAATTTATACTGAGCCAACAGTAAATGTTGATAGTGAAGCACTTAATTGTACAAAATGGTAAATATCATTTTTATGAAGTTATAAATAAGTACTTGTTGAATCCTTATGTAATGATATTTCCATAATATACTTTCAATTCTGAAATCGTACATATTACTAAAATTTCTTATTACAATAACATATATATATATATATTTAAAGTATCCAATTTGTTTTGCATTATGTTGGAGTTAATTAGATATGCATTCTTGACATGAAGTGCTTACTTTTACAAAGAATTAAAGGTTTTTTTTTAAATCTTCTTATGCTTAAAGTAGTCTGCAGTATATTTCTGTTGAACTATTTTAAAATATTATTTATGTTAGTTGATTAATTGAATCAAATTTTTCGATAATTAATTTTACTTTACCTGTTATTTATTGTAAAACAATATGACCAAAGAATATTTTTAGCGATTTATCATAAGGGGAATATGTCCGATTTTAATAATCAAATTATTATGCGAGATTCATTCAACACGTAGGTTAATAAAGGAGGTAATGAGATATAAAGAGATAGATGAATAGAGAGGAGCTTATTAAATCTATAACTTTCTAAGGAATTTGAAGGATGTTAAAAAGAAGAATTTATAAGACATTGTATGGTTGAAGGGTGTTTAATATTGAGAATGA